TAAAGCACCTACTTAGAACAAGCTTAGCAAAGCACAGGGACCGCGGTTCAATCCCCCAGCACCACATGCCAGCTAGCCCCGCCCCCTGGTGGGCTGAGCTGGCCACACACACACACATACATAAATAAATTAAAAAAAAAAAAAAAGAACTGAGCTAAGGGGCAGGCTGCCTGGTCATAACTTACAAGTATTTTTCTGAAAAAAAAAATTATGCTGTAGGGGCTGGCAGGATAGCTCAGTTGTCTAAAGCACCTGCTTCAGCAAACTTAGGCGCAGGGGACTGCGGTTCCATCCCCAGCACCACATGTTGCACCAGACCCTCCCAGACACTGTGGCTGGCTGGCTGGCTGGCGCAGGGGATTTGTTTGGGGTGGATCCCCAGGATGCTGTGCTGGCCCTACCCGAAGGAGTGCGCTGAGACTGATTGAGACGGCATGGTGGTGCACACCTATAATCCCAGCTCTTGGGAAGCTGAACACAGGCGGATCACTCCGAGTCTGATCTACATAGTGAGATCCTGTAGACCCTGTACTAAATACGGGAAAAAAAAAATGCTATATAACATGAAAGTCTTATAACATGAAGTCTTACTTAATTCTTAAGGAGATCCCACCTCAAAATAAAAAAATAAAGAGCTGTGATGGAACAGGGCATGGTGGCACAAGACTAATATCTCAGCACTCAGAGGTTGAGACAGGAGGATTTCTTCAAGTCTGAGATGCCTTTCCTCCCCTGCCCCCACGACTGGAGATTAAATTCAGAGACTTGCATTGAGCTATATTCACAGCTCATTATTTATTTTATTTTATTTATTTATTTTTTGGTGGAACCAGGGGTTGAACTCAGGCCCTTGTGCTTGCCAGGGAAGCACTTATTCTACTGAGCCATCTCCTTGGCCCCTTATTTATTTATTTTTGAAACAGGGTTTCACGATACAGTTTGGGCTGGCTACTTTTGTAGCCCCCAGGCTGGTCTCAGACTTGAAGAGATCCTCCTGTCTCAACCTCTGAGTGCTGAGATTACGGTCTTGTGTCACCATGCCCTGTTCCATCACAGCTCTTTATTTTTTTATTTTGAGGTGGGATCTCCTTAAGAATTAAGTAAGACTTCAGACATGCGCTATCATACCTGGCTTCATGATTTGAAATGTTTAATTTAGTAGTGTTATTTAAATTCATCATGTTGTACAATCATCACCATTGTTTGCCACATTCTTTGTTATCTACACTGAAGTTGACCATTAAGCAATAACTCATTTCCCTATGTTCTAAGGCCCTGTTAATTTCTAAACTACTTTCTGTATTAGTGAGTTTGCTTATTCTAGATACTGTAAGAGTGATATTTGTCTTTCTGTGTTGGGTTTATTTCATTAAGCAAAATGTTTTCAGGGTTCATACATTTTTTTTTTTTTTTTTGCGGAGCCAGGGATTGAACTCAGGTCTTTGCGCTTGCCAGGGAACATACATATTTTTATGGCTGGACAGTATTCCATTGTGTGGATAGGCTGTGTTTTTGAAACTATGAATTTTTTTTTTTTTTTTTTTTCGGAACTGGGGATTGAACTCAAGCCCTTGCACTTGCCAGGCAAGCACTTACTCTACTGAGCCATCTCCCCGACCCTGAAACTATGGATTTTAATAGTTCTACAGTCCTTCTATATATGGAGAGATCCTACTTTCTTAGCAGTTTCTTCTTCTTGCCCTCATGCAGATAAGCCACGTAGCAGATATGCTGTTAACAACACTGGTGACCATGCTGATGACCAGGACGGTGACTCCAGGTAAGGGCCTGCAGTTATTCCAGGATAGGGCTAGTACTGCTCCATAGGCCAGGATAGAGCCTTTACCTCCTGTTGACCCATATATTTGCCCTCCTAAAAGATCTGGTGGTGTTTTTTTCCCACTTAGTGGAAGCTTTGAGGTATTGCAGATTGAGGGTTGCCTTACCAGTTTCTGGCTGGTGAATAATTTGAGCACTTTTTTCACTATAAGCTGTGTGGTTGGTAAAGAAGGTCTGAGAATGGACAAGGCTATCCCTTGGTAGGACATTTATCTCCTAGGAGAGGAACATAGAGGAAAGCAAACCACTTTGCTCTCCTCAGACCTGATTCTTTTTTTGTTTTGTTTTGTTTTCGGAACTGGGGATTGAACTCAGGCCCTTGCGCTTGCTGGGGAAGCGTTTATTCCACTGAGCCATCTCCCTTGCCCCACTGAACCATCTCCCTTGCCCCTCAGACCTGATTCTTAAAGCACATGTCCAGAGGTCAAATGCAGGCAGTCATGCACAGTACAGCCTGGCCAGTTCCCTTCCTGGTGGCTAGGCTCAGGTGGCAATAAGGGCAGTGGAACTGGGGGCTGGAACTGATCTGACCCTTGACACTGCTTTAGGCCTGGATGAAAGGCTAGTCCTGTCCCTTCCTGTGTTTATTCCCTCTGGTCTCTCTGGGAGGCACTATCAGAATAGAAACTTCATAAATATTTGTCTGTCTTAACATTCATTTAAAAGGTAAGGGCCAGGGAGATAGCTCAGTAAGAATAAGTGCTTGCCTGGCAAGCGCAGGGTCCTGAGTTCAATCTCCAGTACAGAAATAAATAAATAAATAAATAAATAAATAGTTAATAAATGCTAACATAGGCTGGAGAAACAAGGAAGATTATATATTATCATTCCTGAGTTCCCCTAAACACGAACACTGGATGAGATAAAGAATTGTCTCACTGCGGTGTGATGGCATGTGGCTATAATACCAGTACTCTGGAGTCCAAGGCAGGAGAATTGCTACAATTTCAAGGCCAGCCTAGGCTACATAGTTAATTTAAGATCTGCCTGAGCTTTATGGTGAGACCCTGTCTTTAAAAAAATGGGGGGCCAGGGAGATGGATCAGCGGAATAAGCGCTTCCCTGTCAAGCGCAAGGGCCTGAGTTCAATCCCCGGTTCTGCAAAAAAATAAAATAAAATAAAATAAAATAAAATAAAATAAAATAAAATAAAATAAAATAAAATACTGGAAGAAGGGCCAGGGAGATGCCTCAGTGGAATAAGTGCTTCCCTGGCAAGCACAAGGACCTGAGTTCAATCCCCGGTTCTGCAAAAACAAAACAAAACTGGGAGAAGATAGTTAAGACCCATACCTGTACCTTCGCTGTGCAGTGAGTTATTGTTGTTTAACTCTAGTTCCCTGACAGAGCACTATACCCACAACAGGGCTTTTCCATTTTAATTTTTAAATTTATTTTACTTATTTATTGGAGACAGGGTCTCACTACACAGTTTAGGCTTGTCGTGATCCTCCTGCCTCAGCCCCCCAAGCCCTGGGATTACAGTGTGTACCACCACACCCAGTTTTGGGTCTAGACTGATGAGCCATCTCCCCAGCCCCCTTTGCAGTTTTGAGTGTGAATTTATCCTCTTTTGTGAAGGTGCTGGCATGCCTTGTGACTGTTTCTAAGGAGAATGAGCTTTGGAAGAGAGAGCAACAGGTAGAGGAAGCTTGGGGTAGAGGGTTGTTGCCTCTCCCAGGGGGTGGTCTTGATGTAGAGGCCTGTGCTTGTCTTTTAAAGGTGGTGACTTGGAACAGTCTTGTTTGTCACGGGGAATTAGAATGCTTTTGTTCACCATAGTCCTCTACTTATACCACAGATCAGTATGGTTTTGATCCTTTAAGGTGCTTTTTTTTCTGGAACCCTAAACTGTTAACCTCTGAGAGGTGATGGCCTACCTTAGAGAAGTGAGGACACAGGACTGTACTGCTCAGTTTCGTAGCTACTAGCCATTGATGTAGAAATTCACTGAAATTAAATTTAAAAATCTATCTCCTAAGTTGGACTACTCTCATTCAGGATTAGTGGTTATCTGGGATGAGTGACTACCACATTAAATGTGCGGATTTGAGATATTTCTATCATTGTAGAAAGTTCTGTTGTATAGCATTGGTTCAGAGAGCCACCTGGTTTTATCAAATGTATCCTCAAGATATGTTTCAAGGTTTATTTATTTATTTTGTATTTTAAAGAAGGGTCTACAGGGCGTTCAGGGTCTCACTATTAGATTGGACTCCTAGTGACCCGCCTGTTCACACCCTCTCAAGAGCTGGGATTACAGCTGAGCGCCATTACCCCCAGTCTCAATTGCCATCTCATTGTTCCCTGGGGGCAGGCCAGCATGGCTGGGGGGGCGGGGATTGAACCTCTGCTCCTGTTTATTTGGCCCACCCTGTTTCAAGGTTTAGAGTTAACTGTTAACACATTTTTTAAAACAACTCTTCTACAATTCAGTAAGAGATGGGTGTGGTGGCATACACTTGTAATCCCAGCACTTGGGAGGCTGAGGCAGGAGAATTGCCGTGAATTTGATGCCAACCTGGCCTACATAGTAGGTTCAAATTCAGCTTGAACTATGTAGCAAGACCCTGTCTCAAAAAAAAAAAAAAAAAAAAAAAACAAAACAAAAATCAATAAGAATAAAAAGATTAAAAAAGAAATGCAGGGGCTGGTGAGATGGCTCAGTGGTCTAAAGCACCTACTTGGAACAAGCTTGGCAAAGCACAGGGACCACGGTTCAATCCCCCAGCACCACATGCCAGCCAGGGCCGCCCCCTGGTGGGCTGAGCTGCCCCCCCCACACTAAATGAATAAATAAATAAAAATTAAAAAAAAAAAAAAGAAAGAAATGCATATTTTCCATTGTCTCTAAGACTTGAAACTCAAGCTCGTAAATTTTCTAGTGTTCCTGTTGCCATATGGCCCCTACAGAAGCCAGTGAGAGGTCTATGTGAAAGCTTGGTTCTTACTTACTCCTCTCGTTGCTGAGACAAAATACCCAACAACAAAAGTTAAAGAAGGAAAGGTTGGGGGCCGTGGAGATGGCTCAGTGGAATAAGCGCTTCCCTGGCAAGTACAAGGGTCCGAGTTCAATCCCCGGTTCCACTAAAAAAAAAAAAAAAAAAGAAAGAAGGAAAGGTTTATTTTAGCTCACAGTTCTTAGAGGTTTCAGTCCTTAGTTAGTTGGTTCCAAGTGAGGGTGGCAAGGCAGAGGGACATCACAGAGGAGCATAGTCCATGGCAGGCAGGGAAGAAACATTGAATCACCTAGCAGAAACCACAGCAGCCTGTCTTCTTTTCTGTCTCTCTAGTTCATCGTAAGCCTGTTGATTGGTGCCACGCATGGCCAGGGTGGGGCTTCTATTATCCTCTTTAATCCCAGCATCACACCCTAATCCAGCCAACTTTGAACTTCCCACCTGTGAGTGAATGTATTTTTGGGGGAACGTCTAAATATAAGCCCTAACACCTAGTGTTAATCCAGAAAGCTAGAGTGGTAACATCCCAGCATGGACAGCCCTCTTCTGTCCCTCTTTCCAAGATTCTGTCCCATCTGGACACTGCCTCAGAGGAGGGGAGCTAGAGACTTTAGAGAAGAGTTCCCCTTTTTTTTTTTTTTGTACCAGGGATCAAAATTCAGAACTTTGGGCTTGCCAGAAAGGCACTTATACTGCTAAGCTATCTCCCCAGCCCGAGAGTTCTTTTTTAGTGTCAGAATGTTCTCAACTTACTGTAGGTCAGACAAAAATCTGTAAGACCTTCTCAGAGCTCTGGTACGTTCCCTCTTGACCCTGTAACACATGGATGTCATTGTGTGGGCTGTAAAGCTTGGCCATGTTTCCCAGAGCAGTGGGCTCAGTTTGTAGGTGCATTTGGGCCCTACCCCACATGTTGTCTTTGGCTAGGCAAGCCCAACACTCTGATTTCCTCCTACCTTCGACTATGATGTTCAGAGCCCAACACCCTCTAAATCTGTTAGAATATATCCCCTACTTCCTTTAGCAGAGATTGTTACACAAAGAAAGTGGACTGGCAATGTTTTCTCCATATTTAGGCATTTCCACCTTTTCCCTACCTAGCCAAGTGTGTGTCTACATAGGACAGCATATTGGGACAAGTGCAGGCTTAGGGTTCTAAGCCTGACTCTTGCTCTTCATCCTGTTGTGTGAGTTTTTGGCTTGTTACTTAGACTGGTCCTTAGCTTCCCTGTTTTTTGTAAAGTTGCTGAAGTTGGGGCATTATTTCCCCCTCAGCTCCTAGATCTGGCCATCATAGGAATAACACATCACATGAGTGATGATGGCCCTCCCTCCCTCGAAGGGGAAGACTCTTCACAAGAAAATGGAACATTGCTGACATTTAGAAGGTTATGTTAAAAAAAAAAAAAAAAGGTTATGTATTTGCCCATTTCTCTTTGGAGGCAAAGGGGTTGCATTGTGACTTGTAAAAACTAGGCTTCTAGGGTTCTGACTTTCTGGGTGATTTAGGGAAAGTCCACAAAACATTCTAACCTTTTATTTATTATACAGTGCAGGCTGGGGAGATGGCTCAGTAGAATAAACTCTTGCCTGGCAGTTCAATCCCCAGTTCCACACACACAAAAAAAATTATACAGTCCAATGAGTGACAGTTTGGGAGCTTCTGAGGAAAAGGTTCTTTTTCATTTTGTATGTTTCTCTTGCATGGGTCTGTGGCAATATGTGTTCCTTAGTGAGAACTGAGGGGTGGGGGCAGCACCCTGAGGCAGGATGCAACAGGATGGCACAGTGGTCACGGTGGGGCTCCCATGTTGTTACTGTCCTGCATTTGGATTTCCCGTTTTCAAGATATTTGCAGAGTAACATGTCTGACAATAAAAATTCTGCACTGGAACATAAATTAGATTTTTAAACTCTTTTCTGGGGTCTGATCATGTCTCAGATGTTTTTCAACACAGGTGTGTGCAGATCTGCCATGACACCCCCTTACTGTTCTGAACAGAGAATCAGAGCTATCAGCTATGCAGGCAATCACAGTATCTCAGGAACTGAACTGATAAATTCTTGTGGCATTATAGTTTTCAGAAGGCTTTTATGAACTGTGAGGCTCTTATTTGGTCCTGTGCACATGAATTTTTGACATATAGGTGAGAGACCTATTCTTGGAATGATTAGATACTTGTGTCCAGTGAATTTTTGTGCCATTTGGGTTTGATCTGGGTCTTCCAGTATTTTGCTTGCTTCTTAAAAGTGATCTTATTCCCTCCCATATATATGTGAAAATTTGAGCATTAAGACACTATATTCTAAGTGTTCATCATGGGGAACATCTGTCTTCTTTCTTTCTTTCTTTTTTTTTTTTTTTTTTTCCGGAACTGGGGATTGAACTCAGACCTTTGAGCTTGCCCGGCAGGCGCTTATCCTACTGAGTTATCTCCCCAGCCCCTGTCTTCTTTCTTGTCTGGTAGCTTGTTAGCTTTGACATTTAGTTAATATTGGAAATACTTCTGCTATACTTATAGAACAACATTGTAACAACATTGTTAACTGGGCATGGTGGGCATGCCTATAGGTGTGTGTGTAGGGGGGTTAGATGTAGGAGGATTAGTGTGAGTTGGAGGTTGTAGGCCAGCCTAGGATACATAGTGAGCCTGAACTACATAGTGAAACTCTGTCTCAAAAACAAATAAAAAGAAAACAAACAACATTGTAGCTTTTCATGTTTTTTTTTTTTTTTTTTTTTTTTTTTTTTTTTTTTAAAGAAACAATGTTTTTGTTTGGTCTTGATGGTCCTGTTCCCATTTCAGCAAGCCATGTCCTCCAACCTATGAGCAGTTGGTTGCAGGGTAAGACTAAAACCTCTCCACCATCTTTCTGTCTTGATTCTGGCTGCCTTCTATTCTTGTAATTATGCTTAATTCCTGATTTCCCTCAGTATCAAGGAATGACTAACGAGGCACACAGGCCCTAGCTTGGACCTTACAGTCCCAGTCCCTCTAAAGGAGCCCAGAATTGGCCATGGCTTACCCTTTCTCCACTCAGTTTATTTAGCTGTTTTGTATTAACCAAGAGGCCAAGGATTGATTGGATAGAACCAGAGAGACTTTTGTACTAAATATACCATGTAAATCTCCCCACAAGTAAGATCCAGTAGTCATGCAGGTGGTAAAGAGAAGAATGGTTTCCCATCTCTGTTCCACTGCCACAATGAGACCTGTGATTGAGGTTTCTTGTACAGTTTTCAAAGGGTTTTGGTGGGGATCTTTCCCAAGGTTTTAAGTGTAGTGCTTAGACTTAGATGTGTTTGGGTATGCACACTAGTGGCAAAAAATGTCCTCCTGGAGTAGATATGGTGCTTATATAGGAAAATATGGATGAGGTGGGGAACTCCTCACTCCCCAGTGCATGCCCTTTGGGTCTTGGAGGTACAGATAGTATTCATAAGCTCCCAGGATGGACATAGGTAGAGGAATAGCATTGAGTTCTCTTCTAGGCTTTGTCTTTCTCCAGGGAGAGCAGGGGACTAAGCTAGAGAACAAGCCTTGCTCCAGAATATCTCAGCAATAATAGAAGTCCTGTGCTGTTTTCTAGCTGGGCTGTTACATTTCCCTGTGTTTTTCTTGAGTCCTAAGATAGTTCAGAAATCTTTAGTGTTTGGAACATCTGTTCTATTATGTTATAGTACATTTACCAGGCTGTCACTACCAAAAGGATTTTTTTTTTAATTTTGTAAACAAAAAATAACTATTGTTGGGCCAGCCAGATAGCTCAGCAGATTAAAGTACCTGTTTAGGCATAAGCAGGGACTGGGGTTTGATCCCGGCATGTGGTGCTGGTCCCGCCCCCAGGGTGTGCTGACAGGGCAGTTGAGATTGGGCATGGTGGCTCATGCCTGTAATCCCAGTGCTTGGGAGGTTGAAAACAGGAGGATCACTACGATCCGATCTGTGTAGTGAGACCCTGTAGACCCCATACTAAATACATTAAAAATAAATATTGTCATTTGTTTACAGTTGTTATGATTTATTATGATTAAGTTATGCCACTCCCCATCTCATGATGTAACTGTGTCTTTTTGCATATTATACCAACAGACACTATGTAAATTATAAAGCTACACAAGCATCTTTTAGCATAAATGTATAATACTAAACCGCAGTAAGTGTATTTCTTTATGAGCCTGACTTGCTCAGTAAGTTAAGTGACCAACTCCACTTTGCTGGCTACTTTAAAAGGGCCTCTGTAGTGGTCACTTATTCTACTGAGCTATCTCCCCAGCCCAGTAGTGGTCACTTAAGGCAATATAACTATTAACTTCAACAGCACTAAGCTTTCCAGTTTACTTTTTGGATCTTGGCCTTTAGGTTGGAAAGAGCTTTTTATGTGATTGTCACAGAGGCACAATGAAATTTGAATATTCATAGATATAAGCTGGGCTTCCTATGCTTGCCTCTGACACTCCCAGGACCCATCTCATAGCCACAGTAACTTGGGTCCCTGGATTGGTGCCCAGGGGCCAGGATGAGCTCTGTCTGTAGCTCTTCAACACAGAGTAGCTGTGTTTAGTGGTGAGTGTTAGCATCACAGCAAGGGAATGGTAGATTGAATGAGCTTTCTGGAATGGTAGATTTTGGCGTGCTATTTGTGGCTTGAATTACTGGGTGGCAGAAGAGGGTGTTTTCTTTTTCTGATTGTTGTTGTTGGGTTGGTTTTTATTGTTTCTTGTTTTATTATGAGACATAAAAAGTTGCACTGGGTCAGTTACTAGAACAGGAATATTTAATAAATTTGACTGCCTATAACCTGTGTCCCTCAGGCAAGATTTATAGGGCAGAATGAGACATGTATAGTTTTTGAAGAAAACCAATGATGCCTTTGGTCTGAGACACTGGAATATTCTGATTTAGTCACTCTAGAGATGAATATTCCCAAGGAGAGTAAAGAACTCAGCTATGGCTTCCAGATTTGTCTCTGACAAGATTAGTTTTGGAAAGTTGGTCTGTAACCTGACTATGGGAGAGACAAGGCAGCCTCCTCAGACCAGTCCTCTGTATCTGGTTTGTTTGGGGGCTGAGGGTTTCCTGAAGTGAATGACTCCTTTGTAGACATGTTTTATCCCATATTCATTTGTCATTGTGAAGTTGAACTGTGGCAGCTTCAAAGATGGCCTGCCTTTTTATTTTTTATTTTTTTAATTGTAAAATGGAGTTACAATGTTAATCTGTCTCGTCTTCCACCAAGAAGGTGTCCGGGAGAGAAGCATGACCAAAGGTGAACATTGGACTGTCTGTCCCCAGTGATCACTTTCGGGACTGTGGGTATTCTTCCTACCCATGTGGTGCAATGTGGCCTTGGGGGCTACCTTGGAAGCTGGAGCTACCTTCCCCAAGACTGTAAATCCTCCTGACCCAGATATTAGAAATGCCTTTTCTGGTGGCTAGATGAGTATGGGAGGTTCTTTCCCTTCTGGGTCCAGATGAGAAACTGTTTCTGGAGGGGAGGTCTCCAGGCCCGGGTCTCTGAGATAAGAGACAGCCACATGCTAGGATGCTCCTCCTTGCAGGTGGCTCTCCCTTATCTGGAACCCCCAGCAAGGACAGATCTGGGTTGCCAGTAGGGAGGCAAATGTACAGATGCATCTTGAAAAGGGTGAGGTCTCACCCCCACCCAGCTGTTCCAATTTCCTCATGGCAGTCAGTTTTGTTCATCCCTGCACTCCTGTAATACAGTGGACCTACATGTCTTGCACAGAATTACTTTCTTAATACAAACTGGAAGGTTTAGTTCAGGGTGAGGGAAGGGCTGTCAGCTATGGTGTGAAGAAGGTAACACCCTGCATGCATCTGAGTGGTGTCCTGTGGTCCTTTATATGGCACTGGAGGAAGAGGCTGTGTGGTGCACAGGGTGTAGTCTAGCAAACATGAGCACAGTTAGGAGAGATCCCTCTCCCTGTGAGCTGTAATGAGTGGCTTCTCAGGGCAGTGCCAGCTCTAGCCAATCCTTCTTTTAAATGCAAACTGCAGCTGTTTCTCTCCTAATTTTATAGAGCATGCAAGAATGACAGCATGTGCCTTCAGCCTGTGCTTCTCGTGCCTTTTACCTGTAATTCTGGTGATTTTTTATATCCCTAACTTTGGGATTGCTGTAAGAGTGTCACATTTTTGGGGGCCTCAGAAATGTCCATCAGTGCTGGGGGCAGAGCCACAGACCACCATTTACTGAGACCCTCCCTTCTCGAGGTACTGGGGAGTGGTACAGTGACACTGTGTTAACATTTTTCCATCCTACTTTTTTTTTTTCATTTGAAGGTTTTCAGATGCTATTCTGGCAACAATTTTGGCAACCAAGTCTGAAATGTGTGGCCAAAAATTTGAACTGAAGATCGATAATGTGCGGTTTGTTGGTCACCCGACACTGCTGCAGCATGCTCTGGGGCAGGTAGGGCACTCTCTGGGTAGGCAAGCCTGACCATTTTGCTCTGGAGATCTTTGAACTATTCTGGCCTTGGCTTTGGGAACGTCATCCATTGGGCAACACATCTGATCAGGCACTGGCCAAGAGCTCCACATCTTCATAGGCCTTGGGGCTTCATGTACCCACTTCAGTCTCTGCAGCAACCTTTGTTTTTTTGTTTTTGGTTCTTTTTTGAAATGCCTTGGTAGTGTGGAACCCTGGGGCCTTGCCTGTGGGGACCTTGCTATTCCAGTGCTGAGCTGCACCCCCAACCTTCCCTGCCATTAGCTTCCACTGTTTGTATTTTGGGTCTCTAATGACTGTGATCTTCACTTTATATGGGGTATAGGTTTCCAAGAGAAGCCAAGAGAGTAAGTCAACCAGCATGTGTCAAACCCTGAACTTTGTACAAAATGATGCAAGTACCTCTTCTTACTAAATAATATTTGTATAGCCAAAATTATTATTTAGCACTTATTATTGTGCTAAATCTTCTGTATATGTTCTCTGATCAATGAATGTTAGAGAAAGAGTATCAGCAAAGTAGAATGCACAGTTTTCAAAGTATTTATATAACAGAGGCTGCCAATCAGCCCTTACACACAAGCAGGGTCAGCAACAGCATTACTCAGATTCTGAAGGGTTTTGGTATAATACATAGGATTGAGCTACGTTTATACCACCCAGAAATTGGGTAACTATGTGTGCTGTAATATATAAACCCTCGGTGATTAAGCCCATGAAGGAGCAGCTGTGGGAGTTAGATATGTCCAGCCCCTTGAACAGCAGCCTCCCTCCTCACTGTGTGTCACAGATAGGGCTACCTTGTCTGTGGGTGAAGGACAGGAGAGTTGGAAGCCAGCTTGCAGCAGTCACCGTAGAGGTGGGCGTACAAGAGAACTGGAGCCTCATGCTCTGACACCCCCTAGTGATGACTCTTGTGGTTGGCATTGAAGAGTCCTATTGTGCCCCTTAGTTTTATTTCAAGGCTTTGGTGTTTTTGACTAAGGCTGCTGGGTGCCAAGCTAAAACCTGAGATAAGAATTAAGTTGTGAAATGAGTGTCTGCTCTGTCTCACAAGGCCTGGCTTAGGCTTTTGTTGACCTTGAATATTGCCTTATCTCTAAATAGTCTGAGTGGACATGGGATAGCAGCAGGGTGTGAGTCTGGTGTTCCACTTTTCTTGAGCTTCCGTCTTGTCTTCTCTGGGCACTGTTCCCTTTTCTCCCTAGATCAGGACAGTCAGAACACCAACCTTTCCACTCCTGCCACAGCTCTGACTCATCTGTTTGTGCAGTTGGCACATCTCTAGAGCAAAAAGCAATCATTTCTCAAAGACCCCACACTGTTTTTCTCTGGTTCTGCTATACTCAGGCCTTTTCCAATGTTTGAAGTAGAATGGCATTAAACAGGTTTCCTTGAAAAGTTACGGCTCTCAAATTATTAGAATCAATGCTTCTTTTACAGGTCTCCAAAACAGATCCATCTCCGAAGAGAGAAGCACCTACCATGATTCTTTTTAATGTGGTATTTGCGCTGAGGGTGAGTGTTTGTATAAATAGTTTCAGTCAGTGAGGAGGATTGGAAGGAAAAGGAGCCAATTTTCAGTGTGTCACAGACTCAACTTTATCTTTTTTTTTATAATTTTTTAAATTATTTATTT